TAAACATTTGGATATATTTAATGTTTTTAATTTACACGTACGTAAAAATGGTTATATTGTAGGGTATTCTTCCTAATGGACGTCGAATTGCGGTAAAAAGACTCTCAAAAAGTTCTAAACAAGGTGTTGCTGAGTTCAAGACCGAAGTATTATTAATTGCCAAACTTCAACATAGAAATTTAGTAGAATTCATTGGTTTTTGTCTTGAAGAAGAAGAAAAGATACTTATTTACGAATATGTGCCCAACAAGAGTCTTGATCACTTTTTATTTGGTTAGATACTTTCAACCTAAACTTTCCTAGTCAACATTTATATTCATCCTTATGTAATCTCTTTTGATCAAGTTGATTTAATTTCATCCATATATTACAAATTAAGTTTCATACTTACATATTTCATTTACACTATTTTGTAGATCCTCAACCACATAGATCATTAAGTTGGTTTGAAAGATATAAAATTATTGGAGGTATTGCACGAGGAATTGTTTATTTACATGAACACTCTCGACTTAAGATCATACATCGTGATCTTAAACCGAGTAATGTTCTACTTGATGAAAATATGACTCCAAAAATTTCAGATTTTGGCATTGCTAAAATTATTGAAATAAGTCAAGACCAAGAAAGCACAGATTTAATTGTTGGAACATGGTAAGTTGATAATGTTTATCTATCTTTGTCCTTTTGTTTTTATAAAAGATATACTTGAATAAATGTTAATTTGTGTAATTTTATTTTATAGTGGTTATATGTCTCCAGAATATGCAATGTTTGGACAATTTTCAGAAAAATCAGATGTTTTTAGTTTTGGAGTAATGGTTTTAGAGATTATTACGGGAAGAAAAAATATATATCCTCCTGAACCACATCATATAGCTGACGGCCTCCTAAGTTATGTAAGTATTGTAATTAAACAATTTATTTCTTGGTTTCAAACATAAATCCATGTATTTTTTTTAACATTTAGTTTGATATTTTTACAGGTTTGGAAACAATGGAGGGCTCAAACACCATTAAGAACCTTTAACTCAAATATTAGAGAAAACTATGCAGAAATTGAAGTTATAAAGTGTATTCAGATTGGTCTATTATGTGTTCAAGAAAGTCCTGATGTTAGACCAACAATGGTAACAATTGTTTCATATCTTGATGGTCATTTTAGTGAATTGCCAACTCCACAAAGACCAGCATTTTTCTTGCACGAAAGAATGGATTCCAAATCTATTGGGAGGAAATCTAGTTCTAGAAGATTTATGAATATTTCTAAGCCATTATCAATCAATGAAATGTCTACAAGTGAATGTTTTCCTCGTTAATGAACTAGTTGTCTTTATTGTATATGAGTATTTTTATTGAATGATATTGCCTTGTCATATATTTTCTAAGAATATCCTTTTTTTCAAATACTTTTTTGTTTATTTTTATATCATAGTGCAATAAAAAGACAATTATATATGAGATAAAGAAATTCGAACATTTCAAACAAGTATAAATTTTTATTGAGGAGATGCCTCAAACAAAACAAACTAATGTTGTGTTCTCTTTGGGGAATATCATTTCACGAGCAATGGAAAGCATGGATTTTTGTGTTCCTTTTCAATTATTTAAGGCACTAATAGAAAAATTGTTTTCTATGATAACTTATTATGATAGGTGAAATTCACCTGTAATAGTAAGTTGAGCGATGATATTTTCGTAATAAAAGTAACATTTATTATGACAGGTAAAAGGGTACCTGTCATAATAAGTGGACGCAATGACAAACTTGAAATTGTGATAAAAACTTACTATATTTGTCCTAGTAAGTATTTATTACGATAGTTAGTTCATCACCT